GGATTCATTCACTGATGAATTCCACAGCTGAATGCTGTCAGGAGCAGGGCCTGGCTGGAGGTGGGGCACTCCCAGGGACATGACCAACGAGGGTGTATTCTTGTCCCTTTGCTGCTCCCTGGCAGCCCTGGGTTGAGCACCTTTTCCTCCACGTCTCTCTGCCACTGTTTCTGCCTTGGAGCCCACTGACCATGGACTCAAATTCTCAGCCAAAATAAACCGCACCTCCTCTAAGCTGTGGGTGTCCAGCAACAGAAAACTAACTAAGACACAAGTAGGAAGGAAAACCAACCTGCAGAAACTGTTCTAGGCCTCATTCCAAAATACATAGGGGGAGAGAGAATGCGACCATCAGCCAAGACCAGGGCAGAGAATGGGGTGACACAGCACAACCACAGCTGGAGCCGGTAGCGAAAGGCAGGTGGAAGCAGAGCGTGAGGCAGAATGGTGTTGGGAGAGGTAGAGAAGACTAGAGGCGTGAGTGAATGGCAGGGGCTGAGTCCTACAGAATTCATATAGACTTGCATCCACAGCATGGTCCTATTACCTAGCGGTCTGACCTGTGAAAGCACTGTTTCCAAGTCTTATTATTCAACAGCAATATGTGGATAATGCTGTCTGCTTTGCAACTTTGTAAGAATAAAACCTCCATGATGCCAGTTTACACTGAAACTTCAATGAATGGCCACATGTATTATGGAGAGTGATGTCCGCAGGCGGCTTCTGGTTTTGCGCTGTCTTTTTAAAAAATCCCAAACAGCACAGTTTCTTATTGATACTCAACACAATCACACTAAAAACTAAGAGGCTACTGTGAGGACTGTGCAGAGCAGGTGTGTTTTTTATTCTCTTCTAGTAAAAAGGAGCTGTAAACACTGTTCTTCAGAACAATGTCACTGAACAGTGACTTTCTTTGGGAGTCTCTTAAGTGGATAAACACATTTGCATCCTCGAGGGCAGTGAGAGAACTTTCAGATGCTTCAGGGTCTTTCTAGCCCTGCTCACGATGCCACCTTACTTTGGTACCTGCTGCATCAGCGGCACTCTGTGCTCCCCCTAAGGCGACACTAGACTTGCTTCCAGTAACCCCTTCAGCTGATGTCTTCTTTCCCAACCAACAAGCTCACTGTGGGGAGCAAGCAAGGTCTGCCTTCTTCAGTGATGGGACAGCCCGGAACATGACTGTGCACACCACACAGAGTAACCATCCCCTGAACAAACAACTAAAGGTAGGCAAGGCATCTTCTCTCCAACTGCTCCAATCCCATCTTCTCCCTGAAATCTCTGAACTTTGCTTCATTTTTTTTGTGTGTGTGGTACTAGAGATTGAATCCAGGACCTTCACACTGACCTACGCACATAGCTCTTCCGCTTTTTATTTCAGAGTCTTGCTAAGCTGCCCAGGCTGGATTCAACCTTGTGATCCTCCTGCCTCAGCCTCCCAAAGGGTGAGATTATGAGTGTGCCACACGCCCGCCTAATTCTGCTATAACTAATTTCCCTCTTTCCTCTGTAGCATAGTTCAAAAGATTTTAAAAATTATTTCTAGCTGCTACTGTTATTCTTTTAGGGAAGAAAGACGGAAAGGAGTAACTGAGGAGGAAGGTAAAATGAGTCTTTTGAATTATTATAATCCTAATGATTTATTCCTACCTGGTTGTAAATGTCATCAGATCTCAGGCGACCGATGACCATGCTGATGAAGGCTTCATTGATAGGCACTCTCTGGAAATAGCTCTCAGGATAGTTGGGTGGTCTTTTGGCCCCTGGCTGGCTGGAATAACCTGTACTCCGCAGGAGCTTACAAATGTCATCCATATTCGAATCAGCAGAAGATCGAGCAGCACTGGCTCAGGTTCACAGTTGGAAAGAAGGAGCCAAACAAACCACACACATTAGAAACTCAAGGTCCAGCAAAATGAAGAACTCAATTTAGATAAAAAGATGGATCTAGTTATATCCTTGATATACAAAACAGTATTTATTAAAGCCTGTTTAAAAGATGGGTATTAGTTCCATGTAAAGGTACAGAATATCTTACCCAAAATCCTTGGAATTATTATTTTTTTTCTCAGAATACAGCACTTTTCAAAGATAAGAAAATAACATAATGCCAGGCATGGCGGCACATGCCTGTAATCCCAGCTGAGTCAGGAGGGTCACAAGTTCAAGGCCATCCTGGAGAATGTAGTAAGACCCTGTCTCACAGTAAAACGAACAGGTCTAGAAATGGAGCTCAGTGGTGGAGGCGCTCGCCTAGTAGGTGTGAGGCCTTGGGTCAAATTTCCAAAAAAATAAAAGGAAAGGGGAGGAAGAGGAGGAGAAGAAAAAGAAGAGGGAGAGGAAGAAGAAAATAGTATATTTAGGTCAAATACGAGGTATGATAAAAAACTATGATGAATACTTCGATTTTTAAATGATTACAGTGCAGGACACCGCCAATGTCATTGCTCCTCCTCACCCTGAACCCACACATCCCATCATTCTTGCTGCTCTGTGAAGCAGCTCTGGAGCCCCTCTCATGAGTCTCCGTGCTTATGCCATCATGGCCGCCTGATCATCCCGACTCAACCCAAAACGTGTCCCTTTCACGGTCACCGACTTTGGGGAAGAGCTGGAGGCCGTACCCTGCCATACCTGGTGAGTGAGGTAGACGAGGACACAGCGTCCTGTGTTTAGAAGCTGCTACTCTGCTGCATGGTACTGGGCAGCAGCATTCTTTGTATTTTTTCTTTTTCGTCCTATTTCTGACCACATCTTTCAAAGATACTCACAAGAGGTCTTCCAAACTGGGTCAGAGAGTGGCAAGAAAGACGGCATTTGTGAGTTTAGAGAGGGAGTACCTTAAGGGGGACGAATGGCAATGTGTCTCTGACGGAGATACCTTTCTGAAAGGTGAAGAGTCACTGTGTATTCTGGTCACCCCTCACCCATTACCATACTTCACCAAGACCTGAGGTGGCACCCCGTAATCAACACATTAATAATGTTGGAAAAATATTTATAAATACATCCAAGTGAGACCGGTGAAGACTTACATATTGAGGGTAGGTTTCCATTCCTAATGATTTCAGGTTAGATGGGGCTTGGTTGTCAAGTCACTACTGTATGTGCATGTGTATATGGATATTTTTCAGGGCTCTTTGGACTTCAAATTTATGGCTAAAGAATGTTTGAACATTTCACAGATTGAACTGAAGTTTAAAAATTCTATTAATTTAAGCCGGCGTAGTGGCTCATGAATGTAATTCCAGCACTTGGGAGGCTGAGGCAGGAGGATCACCACGAGTTCGAGGCCAGCCTGAACTACAGAGTAAGACCTTGTTTTAAAAAATAAAACAAAATTATCACACTAACTGGCTTATCTTGGCAAGCTGTTCCTCCTCAGCGATATAAAAAGAACATCTGTGCTTTTTCAGGCCAGAAGAGTAAGCAATGCGGGAAATGAACTATACTCAGAGCTTAGCCTGAGACGGCCTCATCTCTGGCGCGAGGCTCTTCTTCACCACGTGGATGTGTAATCGCTCAATACTGCTTGTCCTCATTCTAAAGAATTATCTGTTGTACCCAAAGGGCCAAAGCTTGATTTTTCCATAGCAAATGTTTTTTTCTTCTTCTTTACATTTTTACTGATTTTGTGTTTCCAGATACTTTCAGAGATATAGATAGGGTCACTCAGGGTTCAATGTTAAAAGTGGATGTTAGCACAGCTTATAGCAAACACACCAGGAGGAGTTGTGTGCTCTGGTCCCAACCTTTACCTCAGGCTGGGACAGGGAAAGGGGGCTGCTGCTCCAAGCGTCTGCTTTCAGTCAGAGCTGCTGGAAACACAACACCCTCCAATAGTCAGTCCCCTTTCCGCTCTCCCTCTCATCCTTCTTACTTTGTCCTAACTTGTAAACTTGTAAAATGTTAATTCTGCTCCTTTCCTCTTCAGCCCAAGTTCCTAAATGACTGTTTATTGACTGTTTCTTCCCTGGGTCTATTTCTGATGCTGACCTTGTATCTAGTTTTTTAGTTTTTCTTTCAACAAACTGAAAATCTGTATTCTATAAACTGAAATTATAAAGTTGATAAGGTCTGTCTTCCTGCAGACTCACAGCTTTATACAGACAGGACTGTTTATTTTGGTTTTGTATCTATGCATCTATGGGTAAGAATCAGTTGCAACTTGATCTTCAGTAACAATGTTTCAAAGTCACCAGCCTGAAAATGACCACTGAAAGCTCACTTGTTTCTTTATGTCTGCCAAGGAGTCATATTAAAAAACATAAAGAAAAACAAAACATGGGCTGGGGATTTAGCTCAGTGGTTCTGCTGCCTGCCTCGCAAGCACAAAGACCTGAGTTTGATCCCTGGTACCAATAAAATAAAATAAAATAAAATAAATAAATAAACAAAGGTAACACGATCAAGAAAAACAAAACCAAATTCCTTAACTTTCTGAAATTCTTTCAAATTTATTTTCAAAGTAAAGAAAATTCAGAATTCAGACTCCTTTTACTGAAACTGAGTTTCCATTATGAACACAGTAACCTCTACAACTCTTAAAAATCTATTGCATGGTATACAGCATCTTATATAACAGAGGCTCTATGAGATTTAACCTAGTTAGACTGTATGACATAGAACAAGGGCTATGTCCTACTCTATGTCCAGGAAAGATAGCCTTTTACTCCTAATCCAATACCATACTGCTGATATTCTCAGTGGTAGTGTGGAAACACACCCTGCATTTCACTAGTAGCAATGCTTTGGGGTGTGCAGTCCCAGCCCAGGGATACCTGTATCGATAGTAAGAAACCAGCATTCTCTCTCTGACTTCTCCTTCAATCTTCTGATCGATGACCAGAAGCATAACTCCATATAAATACAGTGCTTCACACTAGAAAGAGGAAAGACAATCATCACACATAGGGGTATATATTTGCATAGAGCAAAGTCAACAATGGTTGAAAAAGTTACTTTAGTTGCATTTTTCCTAAAAGTTTGATATTTCAGTGCTCCCTTCAGTAGCACATATACTAAAATTGGAAAGATACAAGGAAGATTAGCATGGTCCCTTGCGCAAGTTTGATATTTCAAGGAAAGCGTAAGTTTTCTGCAAAGAATTCTCAATATCTACACAGAGTAGGCTTTGAAATTTTACTTAAAATACAGGTTTATCTTTAGTTGGTCTTTATTTATTTATTTTGCGTGTGGTATTAGGGATTGAGTCCAGGGCCTTCACACTAAGCTACATCTCCAGCCCTTTTTTATTTTGACATAGGATTTCTTTAAGTCACTATGCTGCCAGGCTTATGATCCTCCTGTCTCTGCATCCCAAAGTGCTGGGATAACAGCATGCACCACCATGCTTGACTCAACTGATATGCACATTTAGTAAACAGTTCTTACATCGTTACCATGTACCAGCCAGATGTCAAGGGTGCAAAAGTCAAGAAGGCAAAATTCTTAATCAGGGGAAGCTTATAACCTCAGAATATCCTTTTGTTCATTTATAATTTTGCTCAAACCCACTATGTCCTAAACTCTGATATGGATTGCCAATTAGAAGATAATTATCAGTGTATCTGAGTCTCTTTAAAGAATGGTATTGTATATGTATTTGTGCCTTAGAAGAAAAAAGTGCTGCTGAATTTCATGTTCCTGAACGTCTATCTCACATAGTCACTATTACTTACAAGAAGCTGTTTGCCATCTTCATTGAGGAGCACAGTTTCGAGGGTTTGCTGAATATAAATACCTTCATTGAGATCATCTAGGTATCTAGAAATAAAACGGCAGGATAAGTTATTCACGCATAACAGAAACTTTGAAGAAAGAAAGATTTTTAAAAGCTAATGCAGGATACCAGGCATTCTGGCTGTAACTAATTGCGGCCTTGCATGAACTTGGGAATTACAGCATCTTCAGCTGTGAGTCACAGCTGCTGTTTATGGCTGCGCCATGAAAAAGTGAAATCGTTAGTTTCAAACTGAAACTATGAATTATATAACTGTCTTAGCAGTGATGACACAAGCACATGGAATAGCCAGTTTAAAGATGAATAAATGGTAGTGCCGGGGATTTAGCTCAGTGGTGCCACCGCCTGCTTTGCAAGCACAAGGGCCCAAGTTTGATCCCCGGTATCCAAAATAAAGAAAAGAATATGTAATAAGATCTTAAAAATGCAGACAGAAAGTTACCTACAAAAATAAATTCTATTTTTTTTTTTCACTTTTCATATACACTGTATAATACACCAGAATGTGATAACAAATTTTAAGACTGAAAGCTATGTGACTTGGTCCAACCAAGTTTATTACGATACTTCAAAAGATCAAAGAGTTACAATAAAACTCAAAACTATTTAAGACGACCAGTGTCCAAGGAAGGAAAATACAACTATGTGGGGCATAAATGAGTAAATTTTATACTAACTCAGAAAAATGTGCATGTTCTAGTCAGTAGAATCTAGTTGGTCCCTTATCCTGGAATAAACTATTACTAAATTAATCAATACCTGTTTAAGTCCACAATGTATTTATGCACGCTCTGAAATGCTAAATAAAATCTCGTCACAATTTCTATGTTGTTTTCTCGAAATTCTTCATCTAAATCCTGTAGCTCTGGCTTAGCTTCCAGTTTGCTTTCCCATAATTCTTGACCCTAAGAAGAAAAACACATTTATGTAAGACATTGATAAAGCAATCCGTGTGGGAAACAATTTCTAAACAGTCTTTGAAAATTTTGTTCTTATGCTCCTATGTATCAAAAATCTAAAGTAGAGCAACAAAAACTAATGAAGATGACAGAAGCCTCGATACAAAATCCCTTAGAAAGAAATGTACTTGAGTTGTAAATAAGATTAGCATACTTTAAGTGTGAAATAGTTCAAGGTGAAATATGTTAAGCCAAAGCTATCTTTTTGAAATTTGATTATGTTGTGTTAGAACTTCCATACAATGCCTTTATCTGATTTTCTGGTTGGTGCTAATAATCTGATTGAAAAGCTTTCTTCTTTAACTCTTCATAGTCACACATCTCTTTACTATCACAGTTCTCAGAGAAAACATGCTTGCATAGCAAAGACAGGAGTACAAATGCTGGAGGGAGAATACCTTAAAATAGCTGAAATCAAATATGATCTCTCCATATTTCTGTTGATCTGCTCGATCTTTTAACCTGAACACAGCAGGAATAAACTCTGAGAGCCGAAGGAGTTCAGCAATGATGGCATTGCCACAGGAAACGATCCTCAGGATTGCCTGGCCACAAAGATTGTTCTCAGCTAGGAAGTCCAACATGGCGAGGACACACAGCTGCCTGCATGTGGATAGTGGGGACGAAGAGCTGCGTCAGAGCTGGGCTCCTCAGGTCATTAAAGGAAACTAGGGCTGCGGGCTGACCCATCAAAAATCTGTATCCAAAGAAAGTATTTCTTTAAGAAGCTTGTGTATATACTTTTGAAATACTCTTCTCTCAATGAAACATACAACAAATAATGAGTTCTGATATAATGGGGAGGACATTTATTCTCCATGCTTCCTGTTTTCCAGTGAAGTGATTTTTCTAGGTTAACTCTCTTGGCCTCCATTTCAGCCCTTTACTCAACCCTCTTCATGAGAAAAGGCAGGACACAGACCATCTCTGCACTAGACAAGGGGTCACTGGGCCCTGATTGCACAGGCTGCCGTGGTTTTAGTAAATAACTGCAAATGCTATCCACAGATCTCAGGTACCTCCCTGTGTATCGTTTTTTAGGCATTTGCTCAAGGGAATTACAGTCCTGAGGTATAAACATACCCAAGATTCCTTTTAAAATTACAGATGCCAATAAATAATAAAATTATGGATGCCAGGTTCTACAAAATTCTGTGAAAAAGACCGATTCAAAAGTCTCGCATAATTCAGCACTCAGGTGTTTGATGTTATAAAATGAATTACTTGTTTGTCTTATATTTCAATGCACTGAGAATGGTTATATCACCCAGCACACTAAATATCGCAATTACTGCTAACAGGTCATTTTCATAAAGGTTCACAGAGAAAGGACTGATTTTCAGCTCAGGCCAGGTGTCCCTATGACAGACTGCAGATGAATATGTTTAAGCAACTCACTTTCTAGTGCAGTGGTTCCCACGCCCAGCTGCCTAACAGAATCCCCTAGAATCTGAGAGCTTCTGAAACACAGGTGTCTTAGTTACTTTTCTTGTTGAGACAAAATTCCCGACAACCAAAGTCAAAGGAGGAAAGGCCTATTTAGCTCACAGTGTGTAGAGGCTTCAGTCCATATCTGGCTTGTTCCCTGGCAGGGTGACATCACAGAGAACAGTTCATGGTAGGCAGAAAAGCATCACAAAACATCACAAGGGACCTCAGCAACTTCTTTCTGTCCCTTATATCTTATCCAGGCTACTTAGGGCAGGTGGCACGCCACCTTAATCCTAGGGCCCTTGAGCCTAGCATTGTACAGTGAATCAATGTCAGCTTCACACACACTGGATCTGGCCACATCTGAAGAAGGCCCACTTCATTCCCATGGGGCTTTGGAGGGCATCTAGACACCGCCATAACAGTACAATAGGTCACAGGTGGTTTTAAGCATCTTATTTTTATGAAGCTCCCCAGATTATTCTGATATGAAGGCAGAATCATGAAGAGTAGAAAATGAGTGCCAGGGATTTAGCTTAGTGCCTGCCTCACAAGTGCAAGGTACTGAGTTAGATTCCTGGTACAGGAAAAAAAAAAAAAAAAAAAAA